ATATATATTGTGTATAGTAAATATAAATTCTGAAAAAAAAATTTAATGAGAAATACAAATTTGAATTAAATATTTTAATTAAAAAAATTTTATAGATTAAGAAGAAAAAAATCAAAACAAAACCATTCTAGTACAAAATAAGATTAAATATTTATTTGGCATTATACTTCAGTTTTTTTTTCTATTTCTTGAATTATTCACGTTTTATGAATTAACATTTAACAATGAATGTTAGCATTACTCTCACATTCTGTCACTGGAAATTGCACTATTGCAGGTTGTTCTATAGTGAATGCATGCATTTTTAAAGCAATTTTGCATTAACTGCTATCATGAAAGCTGGTTAAATAATTATAATGTAATCATCAATCACACCTAACTTCTTTTAAAATCCTAAATGATGAGACTACTATGCTATAAATTTCTGACACCATTGCAAATGTTAACTTCTCATTTTGACAAAATGCCGGCCAGGTGGCCGAGCTGTTAGCGTGCCCGACTGCGAAGCCAATGGCTGCGGGTTCGAATCCCGCTCTGGGCATGGATGTTTCTCTCTGTGTTGTCCTCTGTTGCGTGTGATGTGTGAATGTGTCCCGCCCTATGAACGGGTTTGTGGCAGTGTGGCGTGGGTAATGTTGCTCGCCTCCGTGACTTAGGTTCACAGGTGCCCACTGGGTAACGCTAAATGAGCAACACTTCCGAAGTGAAGAACGAAAAGTTCAAGTGCCTGCCGTTATTAAAAAAAAAAAATTTACAAAATTATCTAGATTTATTTAGGAGACAGTGAATTTTTTATTAAAATCACATTATAATCAAAGTTATCAATTCTTCAAAATGCAATTTTGAGAAAATTTCATTTAAAACCCTATTTTAACCACATGCATCTCATTCACATTTATAAGAGTTTCAAATTAAAACTTAAAGCAAACTTTTTTAAAATATACTTACTGTAGAACTAAGAGAAAACCAATTTTGATATTGGAGTTACATGCTGTATCATTAGTTATAATAAAATTATATTTCTTCTTGAAATAAAATTTCAATACGAATTTTGATGAACAACAAATCTGTTCAACGTTAAATAATATTATAGAGTAAAGTTACTTTTCATGCACTTATAGTGCTTTTTTATTTTAATGTAAGTCTTTTTAAAAACTCATAGATTTTCCTATAAACCTTTAACTTCAGAAGATAATAAATTATAAAAAATATTTGTGATCTCGAAAAAATTTGTTTAACACTTTATAAAAAAACATTTTTCAAAGAGGAATATTAGTAATAAGAATGACAAATCATTAGATTGAAAATGAATACACAGCAAAAAAAAATTTTTCAATATATTTCCATTTTGCTTATCAAACTTTTGGTTGTAAATACTTTTTAGACTAATTTAACAAAAATTATAAAACAAAGCTATTTGCAGTATTATCTAATAACACCATTCTCAATCACTCTTGAAAAAAAAAAATGCATTTTATACTTTTTTATAGAATTCAAAATCGTTAAAACATTTCTTTATAAGTATTAGCTGCAATATTTATAGAAAATTTATAGAAATAACTATTAATTTTCTATCAAGTAGAAGTTTATAGCCGAATTATAAATGTTATTTTGAAGAGGGAACCTTATACTAATAGAGAATTTTAGTTTTGAAAATCAAAGAAATATTTTTAACAATTAGGTATCTGAATTAAAAAAACTAAAGACAACCAAATTTTTGTACTAATGTGCCATTGTTAGTGGTTTTTTTTATACATAATTATGTTAAAATATAAAGATTATTTTAATCAACTAAATACAAATTGTTATGATAGAATGTTTGTCTTCATTTCAAAGAAGAAGAAAAATAATAGCGAGCTAGTTAGCTATACGCATGTTTGAAAGTGAACATGTTTGGATAGAATTTTATTTTAATTCTCACTAGCTTTTTCATTAAAAAAAAAAAAAATAGCAAGCTTGTGTCAGAGAGATTAATAAACAATTAAAAAATTAGATACATAACTTTTAGGTTTAGAAATTAAAATTCTTACATTGAAATGAATTTCCATATGTTCCACAGCAGTACCTGCCCAGGCAAGTGCAATTTGAGGCTGAAATAATAAACAAATGACCACATTAATTCTAATGTGTAAACCTAATAAGAAGATGCTCTCTGCAATTCGGCAAGTTTTGATATTCAAGTGTGATAAGCAACAAATCTGGACACAGTAATTATAGCATGTTATCTTTACAGATTAATCTAGATCCTGTATACAGTACCATGATGGTCACATTTGTAAAGCAGCAGCATGGAAAAAGTGCAATGTAAACTTACTCTCAACATGGTCTAATTGACCGAACACTTAAACAAATGGTATAGGTGACATAACTGTTGTTCACATTCCTGATATTTTGAACAGCAGCCATTACATTTCTGATGTGTTAAGACCTATGGTCTTCCTAAGACTATGTTTCAGCAAATCACTGTAAAAGTTCATGCTATCTATACAGTCTAACTTTCAGATAAATAAAAATTAATCAGTTATTTAATAATTATATAATAGTAGATAAACTAATCAAAAAATGCAATGACAAATAACAGATCTATTAGTCAAATTAATTTAACACTTTTTTAATTAACACTAAAATGAAATAGTGACCATTGTTTTAATATGGTTAAAATTTGAACTGCCAAGCTAGTAGCTAAAATGTAAATTAATTATATCCACAAAACACAAAGCGAGATATTCCGTGTTGTACAGTCTTGTGTACTTAATCATAAATTCTAACATTTAATTATGATTCAACCATTAGCTATAATTAGGGCTACAGGTCTGTCGTGGCACAAGTGTCCTCTTTTTTTTTCTTCTAAAAACTGCAAATTTCTCAATGTTTCTATGTGTCTAAGGAACAAATATGTAACTTTCCATTTTTAAAGCATGTAATTTTTTTTTACCTTATCCACAATTAAAAATATTAAGCTATTTCACTACTAAAAAAATCAATCATTCTCCTTTTATCTTTATCTTTGCAAAGAAAGGAGAGAAAATGATACTGCTCATGTGAAATATTTTAGACAGTGGCATTTTTTGATCTTTTTATCTCAATAATACTGGTTATGAGAACCCACAAGCTGATATACCTTAAAATTTAAGGTTTATAAATGTTCTCAATTTCTTTTCCCCACTGAAAATTTCTTTCAACATATTATCAATTTGGAGACTATTTTTTAACACAACTTGGTTAAAAAAGAGAACAGAAATCTAGTCATTAAGGTGTTCATATTAATGAAACATTTATTTAGACATTTGGCAGATGTACAATTGTGAATATGACATAGAACCTCCTGCCTTACAGGTATGCATTGATGCTTTCCTTTTTTCTGTGCATAGTGGGGAACTTATTATTCAAGGAGGAATTGCCATGTTTCCTCTCAAGTGATAGGGGTGTTAACCCAATAATCAAACCGTCTCAGGAAGTGACATAGCACTAAAAGCATATATTCGGTATCATGACTAACATGAATGTTTGTGAAAATAGGAAGAACATACTCATTTCTCTATAGCTACTTCTAGAATTATGTGTACACATATATCAAATGTTTTGATATATTTGTTATTGTATTGAAAAAAGTATTTTTTAAAGTTTAAATAAATATCATTGTAAATAGTTATTGTAGATTAACTTTTTTCTACATCATTGCAATTATTCTAAAAACAATTTAGAGCGTTAAACTTCATTATTAGTGTACCCTTCCCGTAAACGGACAATTTTATTGCTCCCAAGAGTGTCCTTTTAACAGAGGTTTCACTGTATTTCGAATAGCAAGGTGTTACTCACATCATTATCATAATTTTCTGCATCAAACAAACTACTGGCAATATCTTTTTCTGGTGCTACTTCAACCATTCTTACTTATCTATCTTCTAAAAAATTAATAAAAAATATTTAATACAATTTATGCATAATCACATAGATTTAAATATAAAGATTGATAAAAATAATAAACAACAACAAATAATAGGTTGATTTAAACAGCTATCACGGTGACTTAATAATCAGAGAATCGTAAGTTCAATTTTAGTCACATGATCACTTGCATAGTTTTCTTGTAAAAGCAAATGTAAACAAAACATTTTCGAACAGTGACAATGGCGACAGACAAGACTCTTTCCACCTGATTTAATAAATTTATCAACCGGCAAAATTTCAGTGCTGATACATCCTATCAGCTTAGTCTTGCCAGGTCTGGCTAATCCTCTACAGGACTACATTTGAGTTACTGAAGCCTAGTTTAATGTTTAGACAAGGTAAATCATGGAACCGAGTCTAAAATACCTAGTTTAGACTGCGTTCGGGGGATATTTCCGGATTGTGATCTGTCTCGCCAACTACAATCACCAAGGTGCCAAATAGATTTTACACTTGCAATTTATTTCTTTTTTTAAAATATGTAGATGTTTGCCCGGGTGGTGGTTACGAGTTATATCAGGGAGATTTCCGCATTGTGATCTATGGCAGAATAATCGTCAAATCTAGCAACTTCCATGCAGCAGCCAGCGAGAAAACTTAAAAAACATCTCAGAAAGGGACCAACTCGAAATGTATAACTCGTATCCACCCCCAGGCAAAGATCTACGTGTTTTTTTTTTTAAATTTGCAAGTTTTAAAATCTATTTGGCACCTTGGTGACTGTAGTTGGAGCGATAGATAACGATATGGAAATATCTCCATACCGTTATACCTTTCGAGTTGGTCCCTTTCTGTCCTGTTTTTTTTCTTCTTTTTTTCAATTTCTCATTGGGGGGGGGGAAGTTGTCAAGACTTGGCCATTATTCTGCCACCGATCACGATACGGAAATCTCCCGCAGAATTCTGACAATTCAGTCATTAGGTTTGAGGAAAAAGTGGCTACTACGTCATTAAAGTCTACCGTTCCGGGCCACATGCTACTAACTGAAAATTTAAGCATACGATATAAGCATATTATAATAAACAATTAAAAATCATAAAATATTAAATAATAATTCAAAATATTCACAGGAATTAGAAAACAATGAATAGTATGGTCCAAAGAGTAAGAAAAGTGTGTTTAGTTCCAATGATTGAAGAAAAATATGACAAAAACTCTGCGTTAGTTATGAAAAAAGTAAATTATCATTTTAACCCTTCTTTGGTGGGTGCTTGTTTTCGACATTAATACTTTATTTTGAGGAATTGTCTTAGCAGCCGCGATATATATTAAGTTAACCCTATACATCTGTGGCGCAGTGCCATAAATTAGGGAAGGGAACACCAATGCTATTGTCACGCCAAGTTTTGTCCGACTGGCTGCAATTGAATTTTGTGCGGGATGATATTCAAGGAATACAGGTTCTTTTTTTTTACACTTATAACAAAAAAGGTATTTATGAGGTATAAAAAAATTTATCTCATTTCAACTACCCTTACGAAAATTTAAGGTATATTTGAAGTTGTTTTGTGGTATCGAGGTTATTTTGAGGTATATTTGAGGTTGCTGAGAAAACAACCATAAAAATTATACCTCGTAAAGGTTGTAATTGAAGTGTACGAGGTTGTTTTGCGTACACTTCAGCACATTTTGAGGTTGTTTAAAATTCACTTCAAATCAACTAGGCTGATGAGGTGATTTTCAAGGTAAAGGGTTGTTTTTTTAATGCTTATAACAAAAAAGGTCTTAATGAGGGATAAAAAAATTTACCTTATTTCAACTAAAGAGAGTGAGGTATTTATTGGGGTCTATGAAGTCATTTTATTTATATCTAAGCTCAATTTGAGGTTGCTTTAAATTAACTTCTTATCAACCAGACAGATAAGGTCATTTTTAAGGTATATCAGGTTGTTTTTCTGACTCTTGTAATAAAAGAGGTATTTAAGGTGCAAAAAAAAAATTACCTTATTTCGCCTAAAGAGAGTGAGGTATTTATTGAGGTGTATGAAGTCATTTTATTTATACTTAAGCTTATTTTGAGGTTGTTTTAAATTCACTTCATGCCAACCAAATTGATGAAATGAATTCTAAGGTAGACAAGGTTGCTTTTCTGATACTTGTGACAAAAGAGGTATTGAAATATTTACCTTATTTCAACTAAAAGAGTGAGGTATTTATTGGGGTGTATAAAGTCATTTAATTTATACCTACTAAGTCCTTTAATTTATACCTAATTGTTTACTAGGCAGATTGTTATTACTTATTGGAATATTAAGCAGAATTAAATAAAAACCCGATTTCAAGTTTATATGACAATTTGTTTCAAGGTTATGAGCATTTTTATGTAGCTGTTTATGGTTCTCTACTTCAAAAATTAGCGAATTTCGGAAATCTCAAATTTTTTAGAAATAAGTCAGTATTGTTTTTTTTATGCAATTTTAATGCTTAGTTGAATAAAAATCAATTGCAAATAAAAACATTTATTTTTTAAAAGTTATCTGCATTTTTTTGAATTTCATCTTATGGGACATGTTTTTATATTTAAACTAATGTTTGCAACAACTAACGATTAATTTTATTCTTCTCGGTATTATAAGTTATATAAGAGTTATTTTATTCAACTTCTTTTAAAGCATTATTTCAAATTGTTTTCTCTTAGACATTTTCCTCACATAAAATTGCTCACAAGTTTAAAACAAATTATCCTAACCAGCTTATAATTAGTTTTATTTGATAGAGTGTAAAAATTGGTACATAACTTTAAAATTTTAATTTATTAAGCGGTTGTTGATTCTTGATTGTTGTTGATTGTTGTTGACATTGATTAAAAAAAATTAGATTAACTATTTTTTAAGAACCTCTGATGTGATTGACAATGACGGGAGTTCTTCTCAGAATCAGCGTCAAAAATTAGCAAAACGGTTATCAGTTTCATGAAGTTTGACAAAAGGTTTAAAAATATAGACTGGTTTATTCGCGATCGCAACGCTCGAATATGCCATCTGGGGAGAAGACCGGTTCCATGCTTTTGGCCCTAATATGGTTTTGGCCCTCTCCATGCTAATATGGTGAAAGCATGCGAAGTGTTGCCATAGGTAAGGAGTTCCGCTCTGCGCCACCTATAGCCCATTTCGATCGCCAATTGAGTTTAAAGATGTGTAAGAAAAAAAGAAAGAACATCTAATTATCAAAATTACAAGTATCATAATGATACCAGATGTAAAGGAAATTAAAACTGCTAAAATTTCATCATGAGACTGGAATTATATATTTGAATTTCTGTAAAAATGTTGTAAATGGTATTACTTTCTTCAGTGTATTTTATTTTGTGGTTGTGGTACTTGTCATGCTTTTTAGCAACGAGGATTGGAAGCGAAGCGAGAGGATTTAGCGAAATGGAATGCCATTCATCTGAAAAAGGGAATTAATTTCATCCAGTTAATTTAAACCATGAAAAAAACAATTTCTAATATTTTAAAACCTGTCACTATTATTGTAAGTATGACTTTCTTACTAATATTATATATTTGAATTTCTATAAAGGTTGTTAAAGATAATACTTCTTTCGGTGTATTTTATTTTGTGGCTATTGTACCTGTTACACTTTTTAAAGCTTTTAGCTATGGGGATTGAATAAAAATGATAGAATGGAATGCCATTGATCTGAAAAAGAAGATTAATTTCATACAGTTAATTTAAATCATGAAAAAAGTTTACTTTGTTTAATAAATTCTGTTGAAGATCATATGATTCTCATATTTTAAAGCCAGCCACAATTATTGTAAATATGACTTTCTCACTAATTCATATTTTCTTTCTTTTAGGTTCTAATACTTCCAAGTTTTGACAGGGAGACAGAATCAATGTTTGAAATAATTTTGTTGGTTTGAAAAAAAATGACATTTTAGTTTTAAATAAAAGTAATTTGCATTTCAACTGACTAATTATTTAAATTTGTAGTTTTATAGCTATAAAAATTCAAGCACCTTAGACAACTATCTTCGAAAAATATGAGTTCTCACAAATAATTTTTACTAACTGTGGAATTTTGTTAAGTGGTATTTCAAGATGATTTAATTCAATTTATTAAAATTACTGAAGAATTGTGCATTTGAAACTTTATTTTATAGCTTAACAAATGAAGCAAGTTAACTGCCGAAGGTTTAATATTAAAAACTTCAGGTTGATAAATTAAGACCTCTAGTGAAAAAATGTAATGATATACATTATTCTTCATATAATATATATAATATCTTTATATATATTATATTCTTTATATAGTGTGGTTAAAAATTAATAAACCAGGTGGACCTTTTTTATTCTTATATTTTAACATACCCTGAAGAGATTACATTCTAAATAAATTATGCAATGTGTGTAATGGGTCTGCGTATTAGATATAATTTGTTTTATAGATTTTTTTTAATGGCGGGCACTTGAGATGTATTGTTCCATTGGCCAGGAGTGCCAGAACTGCTACTCTCTTCTCGTTACCCAGTGGGCACCTGTGGCGAAGCCACGGCGGTAGAGCAGCGTCGCCCACGTCACACAACCACAAACCCGTTTATAGGGCGGGTCACATTCACACAAAAGAGAAAGGACATAGAACACAGAGAGAAATAAACATCCCTGCCCTGAGCGGGATTCGAACCCGCAACCATCGGCTCCGCAGTTAGGCACACTAACCACTCGGTCACCTGGTCGGCGTTTTATAGATTACAAAGTGATGTATTACAGTTTAGTAAAATGGTTTTTCTTCTTCTTTTTTTTATATAAATAAAACACATAATAAATATTGTCATCTTTAATTATTTCATTTTAAATTTTGTTTCTAGAACTCAGAAAATTGAAATATCTTTAATTACATGCATTTTTGTTTGTTTAGTTACCAATTTACACTTATAAAACAATCAGTTGATAATTTAAAAGAAAAAATTGGTTTAATAATTGCATAAGAAAAATAAAAATAAAATATTGGTAAGGATGCAGTTTTTGAACTGCTAAAAATGAAAAAAAAAAAAAAAAGTAAAGATATAATCTCGTAATNAGAAGTTAAGAAAATGAGTGAGTTTAAAGACAGGTATTTTTAAGTGGGCCCAGGTGGAAAAATAACGCCAAGTGTTTAAACTACAGAAGGATTTTTACTTCATTTTTAAAAAGACTAAAATTAAATAAAGTGAGAATTTTTCATGTAAGAAGTATTTGCTAATGAAATAATATGTACATTTAAGCTCACTGACATCAATTATGGTATAAATAAATTAGCCTAGTCTGCAATAATAAAAAATAATTTTATCTGATCAATTATATATAAAAATCATTTTTGTGAACCTGTAAGTACATATTCTTAAGACAGTTAAAAAGTTTGAAGTATAGTTAGTAAAGTAAGAACTTAAATATTTAAATTTATTCTTAGTTTATTTATATATATTCGCAGAGCTTATCCACAAGTGGCTTCCTGATATTGAGATGTCCTAGGTCGTATATAGCACAGGTGCAGCAACGAGGAAGAAGTGGCTGGCAAGCTACTGCTCATCAGCCTTTTCCAGGGAAATAGTTCAGCATTTATACCAAAAAGAAAAAGTAATCTCACGTAATAAACTACTGAATTTACGTAATTGCTGATGACTAAGGCCCGGATTTTGATGACATTTACATTTTTTTGCATTTTTGGACATTTTTTGTCCTTTAGAGCATTTTTTAAGATTTATAGGGCATTTTTTTCTAAATTTTGGGCCGTATTTTGCATTTTAAAGCATTTTTTAAGCTTTTTGTTAATTTTTTCCTATTTTCATTATTTATTGGGGCATTTTTATTACATGAAATGCAATATTTGTCTTATAATTTTAAATTTCATATTGTAGCTCTCAATACCACCTGCATGCCATTATGTTTTTCCACTATGTTATTGATTGATATAAAATCTTTAGAAGTAATTCTTTGTTACAGCTTTCCCATTTTCTCTGTTTTGTATAGTTTAGAACATTACAATTTTCTAGGAAATTTTCTTCTCCAGGAATAAAAATTTGCTTTAAGACAAGAGACGCTCGTTTACATTTCAAAATATCAAAAAACATTTAATAATCCAATGTAATTCTGATATTTAGTAATATTATGAGATGGAAGTTGTTATATTCATTAAAGTTTCTGTACAAAATGAAAATGTTTTGGAGTCAATATATTTTCCTCTTTTTTTGTTATTTTAGGATGTAAAACATATTTTTCAAACTTTAATGAACGTAGAACAAGTATTGCATTGCTTTATATTTTTTGAAATGACTCATAATAATTTTAAAGAGTAAAACATTGTTTTAGTTTAATATTTTTTCCTTATTTAAGTCATGTCATAAGGCATTTTTAGCAC